TTTCTTCCTGTCTTCCTTTATGGAACTTTGTTTTCTGGGGTATCTAAATTCTTCAACTGTGTGCAGGTTAATATTATTTTTTAAAAAGTATTTGTGAGCATGCACCAAAGGGTGAAAAACAAATATTTTCTTTCAGAGAGCATGTGTGTGTGTTTGCTCCAGGTTTCCTAGAGGCACTGCTACTCAGTGGCCACATGAAACTGGTCATCAGACTCTGGCTACATAGGTTATGAATTCTCCCAGGGACTGGGTGGTCATAGCCTTTTAGGGAGTGTTTTTACTTTCCTTTTTCATCTCCTGAACCTCTCACTTCTGCATTTAGACTTTCCCATAAAATTTAGCTTGATTTAATAAATGCCTGCTGTCTTTTCAGCGCTTTTATGGCAATTTTTTAAAAAGTTTTAATTCAGCTTCTTTTTTCTGTTTTTTTGAGACAGGGTCTTGCTCTGTCACCCAGGCTGAAGTGCAGTGGTTTGATTACAAATCCCTGCAACCTCTGCCTTCCAGGTTCAAGCGAGCCACCAGACAGGGCTAATTTCTGTATTTTTTATAGAGATGGGGTTTCACTATGTTGCCTAGGCTGGTCTCAAACTCCTGGGCTCAAGCAATCCTCCCACCTCAGCCTCCCAAGCGCTGGGATTACAGGTGTGCCACCACACCTGGCCTAATTAGCATTTTAAATTTTCTTAAATGGAAGAGGATGCTGTCAGTCATTTGAGAAAACCAAACTTTTTGTTTTACTGTTCAGTGAGATTGTCCTTAATTGTGGATCAAATTTTTATATTTTAGATTCTCCTATCATATCATTTATGTGGTATCCTATTTGATCTTTCTGATTTTTTTCAAAGCTGTGTTTCCTTTAAAAAAGGTCAGAATTTATGTAGAATTCCTTTATGCTACATTTAAGGATTACTAAGCGTGGTCCTCATGTTCATATTCCCAAGTAGTTCCTCCATATTGAATAGAATTAAGTCCAAAATGGTAATACATCTCACTGCTGCTTCTGCCTTCTGAGAGACAATATTTTTCAGCAAGTATAGAAATATAAACATATAAATAAATAAGTAAATAGTAAATATCTGTAAGTAAATATCCAGCTTTTAGAAGAGATTCCCTGGTGAAAGCTGAATAATTGAAGATTTCACTACTATAACTTGCTTCTGTACCATAATGATTAAATGAGTCATCACCCATATATGCAACACCATGGTAGACTATACTCCTACTTTGGCCCTTCCCTTTACCATTTTTTTTTTTCTTGCTTTGTCGCCCAGGCTGGAGTGCAGTGGTATGATCTCAGCTCACTGCAACCTCTGCCTCCTGTGTTCAAGCAATTCTCCTGCCTCAGCCTCTCGAGTAGCTGGGATTACAGGTGCCCACTACCACACCTGGCTAATTTTTGTATTTTTTAGTAGAGACGGGGTTTCACCATGTTGGCCAGGCTGGTCTTGAACTTCTGACCTAAGGTGATCGCCCACCATGGCCTCCCAAAGTTCTGGGATTACAGGCGTGAGCCACCACGCCTCACCATACTTTCTTTATCCTAAATGCTCTCTTCTGTACTTCATTTTTTGGGTTAATTTTTGAAAATACAAGTCCCTACTTTAATATGCATTTGTCTGGGGTTCCCTTCATTGTGTACTTTAGCTCTTCATTTAAATGATCAGTTCCAGCCCATAAAATCTCAGCGATGTTTCTGAGATTCTATTTACCATCTAGTATTAAGCTTCATATATTGATAATATGTAGAGGGAGGCCAAGGCAGGAGGATCACTCGAGCCCAGGAGTTTGAAACCAGCATGGGCAACATGGCAAAACTCCATCTCTACAAAAAAGTTAGCTGGGCATGGTGGCATACACCTGTAGTCCCACCAACTCGGGAGGCTAAGGTGGAAGAATCACTTGAGCACAGGAGGCTGAGGCTTCAGTGAGCTGTAATCATGCCATTGCACTTCAGCCTGGGTGACAGAAACCCAAAAGAAGAAAGAAAAGAAAAGAAAAGAAAGGAAAAGAAAAGAAAAAGAAGAAGAAAGAAAGAAAGAAAAAGAAAGAAAGAAAGAAGAAAAGAAAAGAAAAAGAAAGAAAGAAAGAAAGAAAAGAAAAGAAAGAAAGAAAGAAGAAAGGAAGGAAGAAGAAGAAAGAAAGAGAAAGAAAGAAAGAAAAGAAGAAGAAAGAAAGAAGAAGAAGAAAGAAGAGGAAGAAGAAGGAGGAGGAGGAGGAGGAAGAAGAATGAAGGAGGAAGAAGGAAGACGAAGAAGGAGGAAGAGGAGGAGGAGGAGGAGAAGGAAGAAATGTAGATACTTGAGAATGAAAGCAATATGTTTATTTTCTTCTTTGTAAATTTCTAGACACCACGCCTCACGTCCCCTTCCCACTGTACTTTAGTTGTCACACTTGTCATTTATAACATCTCATTTCACAGGTTTTTTTCTGGTCTTTTGACTCAATTACTGTCCAAGTCCTATTCATCATGTTGTTAGTTAATGAAATATCGCTAACATTCCTGGAATGTATGTTTCCTTTTCCAAGCTATTTGATATTTGTGACAGAATCTTATAATATCATCTATGTAGCTAGTTTGTTTATTTTTCATATCCTCTTATCTTCTCTATAGTGATGACTTTCAACTGAAGCAGGGGGAAAAAATACAATATATGTTCCCAAGGCTTTCTATTTCCTGCCCAGGACTATAAAGTCACTAGAAATATATTTCAGATTTCTTCTCTCACTCAGCCTACACCAAATCAATAGCCGAGGACCAGAGTTCACCTGTCTGATGTGATTTGTCCAGCATTTGGTTAGAACACTGAAGAAAGCACAAGTAGTTACCAATATTTGTTGACCAAGATCAGAACAATCACCCTTCAATATGAAGTCAGTACAAATCAGAAAACAGAATTTACCCTCTCACACACACACTCTCTAAAAGATGCTTTGAAAATTACATTTAATGAGACTAGATGTTTGTCTTCAGGGAAATCTCATTGCTGTTTCTTATTAAGAAAAAAATGTAACTAAAATGAAAACACATTCATATTATTTAAATGTCATCATAACTGAAGCACAGTGATTTATGTGAAATCTGGAAAATGGTGTCTCTGAGAGACTGGGTATACTGATAAATCACTGAGAATACCTGAGACTCGGTAACTGACAAAGAACAAAAGTTTATTTTCTTACAGTTCTGGAGGCTGGAAAGTCCAAGATCAAGATGCCAGCATGTTAGGGCCCAGTCTCTCTGCTTCCAAGGCTATATCTTGAATGCTGCATTCTCTGGAGGGGAGAAATGCCATTACTCACATGACAGAAGAGGGAGAACCCACTCTTACAAGCCCTTTTTATGGTGGCATTAATCCTAAACCCCTCCCACTAGGCCCCGCCTCCCAACACTGTTTGTTACATTGGAGATTAAGTTTCAACATGTGTTTTGGAGAGGACAAAAATAATCAAACTATAGCAAATCAAAAACCAATGTTCAGGGGATAGGATATACTCATTCTTATGTTTAATGTGGGTTAATAAAATGAACAAAGATGTAGCTACCAAATTTTATTAAAATATATCCTAAAACATAAAATGTTCCTCAATGATATTTTTTCTTCAGTTTTATTGAGATATAACTGACATGTAATAAACAGCCCATATTTAAAGTATACAATTTGGCCGGGCGTGGTGGCTCAAGCCTGTAATCCCAGCACTGTGGGAGGCCGAGGCAGGTGGATCACGAGGTCAAGAGATCAAGACCATCCTGGTCAACATGGTGAAACCCCGTCTCTACTAAAAATACAAAAAATTAGCTGGGCATGGTGGCGTGTGCCTGTAATCCCAGCTACTCAGGAGGCTGAGGCAGGAGAATTGCCTGAACCCAGGAGGCAGAGGTTGCGGTGAGCCGAGATCACGCCATTGCACTCCAGCCTGGGTAACAAGAGCGAAACTCCGTCTCAAAAACAAAAAATAAATAAATAAAGTATACAATTTGATGAGTCTGACATATGTACATCTGTGACACCATCACTACAATCCAAATAATGAACATATCAATCATCTGTATAGGCTTTCTCATGCCCCTTCGTAATCCCTCCTCCCACCCATACTTCCCCAGGCTCCTGACCCCAGGCAACCACTGACCTGTGTCTGTCATCATAGACTATAATTCCACTTACATAAAATGCTAGAAGAGAAAAACTAAAGCATTTATACTTTTTGGCCTGGCTTCTTTCACTCAGCATAATTATTTTGAGATTCATCCATACTATGTGTTGTCATCAATGCTTCACTTCTTTTTTTCTTTTCTTTCTTTTTTTTTTTTTTTTTTTTTTTTGAGACAGGTCTATCTCTGTTGCTCAGGCTGGAATACAGTGGCATGATCATGGCTCACTGCAGCCTTGAACTCCAGGCTCAAGCAATCCCCCCACCTTACCCTCCCGAGTAGCTGGGACTACAGGCACATGCCACCATACCCAGCTAATTACTTTGTCTTTTTGTACACATGGGGTCTCCCTATGTTGTCCAGGCTGGTCTCAAACTCCTGGCCTCAAGCAATCCTTCTGCCTCGGCCTCCCAAAGTCCTGGGATTACAGGTGTGAGCCACTGCATCAGGCCCATGTCATTCCTTTTTATTACTGAGGAGTACTCCATTCTGTGCATACATCTCAATTTGTTTGCCCAACCTTTTGATTTATAATCTAGCTTTCTTCAATCAGCTTATGCCCTTTTATAAAAAGGCTTCCACGAATTCTCCTGTCACAGGAACTATTGATCAAATCACATTTTTGACACCACAAAGCTGAAGGCAGACCTGGGACAAATGGAGGGAGAGGAGGCTCCTGGGAGGTCAGTTTCTCCTGTTGCTGAACACCATCTTCCAATCACAACAGCCAGGAATTGAGAATCTTCCATTTCAGCTGTAAAGGAATGTATGTGCAAAATGTCCTGATTAATGATGATTAAAGGAAAGACCATTTCTCTTTTCCCCAAACCCAACCTGTTTGTCACTTCAGACCCCTAAGGGAGCCTGTGCAATATCGGTGAAGGTTGCTATCGACATAGGGTACCGACACTTTGATGGGGCCTACGTCTACAAAAATGAACACGAAGTTGGGGAGGCCATCAGGGAGAAGATAGCAGAAGGAAAGGTGCAGAGGGAAGACATCTTCTACTGTGGAAAGGTGAGATCTTGCCTTCAGTCTCCACTGGGGACAGTGAGGAGGTTTCAGGTGTTCATTTTATTATTCATCTTCCGCGTGTGTGCGCGCGAGCGCGCGTGTGTGTGTGTATTTGCACTCATGAGTATGCAGGACTCAATAATAACAGTTTGAGTTTGTTTGTTTAAAAGATAAGTGTTAAAATGACACCAAAATCATGCAAAACAGGATTTTCAACATTCTTGTATTATATTAACAAATTATTCATTAGCTTGGGAGAAGTAAGCAGAGTAGCATTTCAGGAAGAGAAAGGGGGTTTTAAAAAAGTATTTGGCTGGGTGCAGTGTCTCACGCCTGTAATCCCAGCACTTTGGGAGTCTGAGGCAGGTGTTTTGCTTGAGCTCAAGAGTTCAAGACCAGCCTGGGTAACATGGCAAAACCCTGTCTCTACAAAAAATAAAAAAAATAGCCAGGCACGGTAGCTTGCACCTGTAGTCCCAGCTACTTGGGAGGCTGAGGCGGGAGGATGGCATGAGCCAGGGAGGTCGAGGCTGCAATGAGTCATGTTCACATCACTGCCCTCCAGTTTGGGTGACAGAGTAAGACCCTATCTCAAAAAAAGAAAAAATAAAGTATTTGAGCAAATGTAATTAACTCAGGAATGATATTCATTTTTAGAACCAATAGATATTGTTTAATAAAAGCAAACAAACATAAATCAAAACAACAAGCTCTTAAAGTCGCCAATCCAAAAGCCATATGACTCATATTACGTGAGTCATTTTTCACCATGATAAAGTTATCATGCAAGAAAAAGGTGGTTAAAACATGCTTTAAATTGTCCTTTAATTCTTTAAATTGTCCAAAAAGTACAGTTGTGAAGAGAAAGCAATATTCGTACATATATAATGTCAATATGGGCTGTGTCTAATAAAGCACACTTGGGAAAAATATGAGTGTTTACTGTTTTATTTATTTATTTATTTATTTTGTGAGACAGCGTCTCATTCTGTTGCCCGGGCTGGAGTGCAGTGGCACTATCTTGGCTCACTACAACCTCCACCTGCCGGGTTCAAGAGATTCTCCTGCCTTAGCCTCCAGAGTAGGTGGGACTACAGGCATGCACCACCATGCCAGTCTAATTTTTGTATTTTTAGTAGAGACAGGGTTTCACTATCTTGGCCAAGCTGCTCTTGAACTCCTGACCTCGTGATCCGCCCATCTCGGCCTCCCAAAGTGCTGGGATTACAGGTGTGAGCCACCACGCCCAGCCTAGTGTTTACTTAAGTAAACAGACAGAGTGTGTGCAACTGAGTTCATGTAATGTTCGGTTGCTTTCACCTTATCAGGATTGTTTTCACTGCAGCTCAGCAGCAGCTGAGGGGCAATATGGGGGCAATTATGTGCACAGACTGGTGTAAGACTGCCCAGGTCAGAAGTCCAGATCTGTCACTATTGGCTGAGCTGCCTAGCATTTCTGGATCTCAGTTTTTCTCTCTGTAAAATGGGGATAATAATATCAACTATTTCATAGAGTTGTTATGAGTTCACATTTACAAAGCACTCATATAGAACCTGGCACAAAGCTAATACTATGTGTGTTTGCTGAATAAATGTAAATTAAAATACCTTCAGGAATGAAAAAAAAAGTGAATTAAAATAGCAAACAGAATTTCCACTTACATAGGATTGCAACAGTAACAGCAAAGGGACCCACCATAGCAATCAAAACCCATGTAACACATTTTTCCATTACTGTCTTCATGTTAAATTTTCTCTGTGTTTTTAAGTCAAGAAAAAAATCATTGTCCAACAGAGGAAAAAAAATCAGATTTTACCAATTTTGCTCACCCTGTCTTGTGACCAAAAAACAGTATGATTCAGGCCGAGTGCAGTGGCTCACGCCTGTAATCCCAACACTTTGGAAGGCAGAGGCAGGAGGATCACTTGAGGTCAGAGGTTCGTGACCAGCCTGGTCAACATGCTGAAACCCCATCTCTACTAAAAATACAAAAATCAGCCAGGCATAGTGCCAGGTGCCTGTAGTCCCAGCCACTTGGGAGGCTGAGGCAGGATAATCACTTGAACCCAGGAGGCGGAGGTTGCAGTGAGCCGAGGTCAAGCCACTGTGCTCCAGCCTGGGTGACAGAGCAAAACTCTGTCACTAAAAAGAGAAAAGGAGAAGAGGAGAGGGGAGAGGAGGGGAGGGGAGGGGAGGGGAGGGGAGAGAGGAAAGGATTCTAAACTTTTATCCCAAAAAAAATCTGTGAGCAAAACTGATATTCCGAAAGACATACTAATTTGTCCTGTGGGTATGAGCAACCTTGGCACCATATGTCTCAGATCCCTAAGGGTACACAAGCTCCAATAGGATCAACCAAGCCTTGATCCTTCATTACGTAATGCCTTAATGAAAGAGTCATTTCTTAGAGATTGCTCTGGGGTCTAAGTAGGGCCAAACAGGAACAAAAGATCAGTGAAAGCAAATCTAAATCTATGCCCTACTTTAAAATGTGGCCAGCCTTCCACACCACCTGTCACAATGTGAAGGACCCAGTGAAGCCACACACATAACCATAGTCCTTGCTCATTGGAAACACATCTTTTATCAGAGTGGCATGACAATAAAGAATCCGGCTAGGTCAGGACGTCTAGAACACTGTGTAACCCTAGTGAGACGATGAGGAATAATGCAAGCATTAAGGGTTGATTAGGAAATTCACCCGGAAATGGGGGAGACTGCCATCAAATTAGGTACTGTGTGGTCAAGAGGATCTGTGAGTCTCTTGTACTAATGTGAATAAAATTATGTCTGGGGATGTGAGGGTGATCTGGCCGCAACATCTGTCACCCCATTGATCACCAGGGCTAATTCAGCTGATCTGGCTGTCTAGGCAATTGTACCTCTCAAAGCTGCACTCTCAGTGGAAGAGGACGACTTTCCCCGATGGAGGAGGAGGGTTTTTAGGTCAAGGGTATATGAGTAGCTGCACTCTTCTGCTAGAACCTCCAAACAAGCTCTCAAGCTAGGCTCTGAGTGTCAAGAGTTTTATCAGCTCATCCTATACTCAGATGACACTGCACCATAAACATATTTTCGTGAAATGAAATATGTGCATAATATGTGTACGAGGGGCCAGGCGCAGTGGCTGATGCCTGGAATCCCAGCGCTTTGGGAGGCCGAGTGGGTGGATCGCTTGAGCCTAGGAGTACAGCCTGGGCAACATACTGAGATCCCTATCTCAAAAAAAAAAATGTGTATAAGTGCTTTACAAAGAAAAATGGTTACAAGATTGTAAAAATCATGTAGACATTCGTTAATTATCCTTCTTTGATTCTTTTAGCTATGGGCTACAAATCATGTCCCAGAGATGGTCCGCCCAAGCCTGGAGAGGACACTCAGGGTCCTCCAGCTAGATTACGTGGATCTTTACATCATTGAATTACCCATGGCCTTTAAGGTGAGTTCAGATGCCTAAAGGTTAGGTCTCGGCACCCCAACAACCATGAGCCAATAGCTATGTGCATGAAGCTAGCTTATCATTTAGCACCACAGAGAATTGTGGGGTTTTGTTACCACAGATCACAGTACTGCCCTACGCTGACAAATGCCTGAGAAGATTGTGTGAACAGACTCAGGCTTGGTTTCCAAGTTCCTTGATTTTTTTTAATTCCATGCAATTTCTATTACACCATGTTTTTACAACTATGGTTTAAGCTCTCTGCATCAAACCAACATGTAGTCTCCTGTAGCCCAGCATCGAGACACACGCCCTTCTTCCCACTCACACAGTCACCATCTCAGCCCTTATCCTCACTTTGTTAATGTTGACTCTTGTTCAAATGTCAGATTTCCAACCTAAGTCTTAAAAATTTGGAAAGACCCAGTGTACATGTGTTGCTTAGCAATGGGATGCATTCTGAGAAATGCATCATTAGGCAGCTCTGTTGTTCAGCAAACATCATATAGAGTGTCCTTACACAGCCCTAGGTGGTAAGGTTTCATTTACCATGGTAGATGGTACTACTCCTGTAATAACATGAATAAAACACAAGCACATTGGGCCTAGATGGTGTAGCCTATTACAGATTTAGGCTAGATAGCCCAGCTGGCTGCCCCTAGGCTATAAACCTGCACAGCATGTTACTCCTCTGAATACCACAAGCAATTGTTACACAGTGGTAAATATTTGTGTATATAAACATATCTAAACACAGAAAAGGTACAGTAAAAATATGCCATAAAAGATATGATACACCTATGCCTGGCACTTACCATGAATGGACCTTGCAGGATTAGAAATTAGGTGAGTCAGGGAGTGAGTGGTGAGTGAATGTGAAGGCCTAGGTCATGACTGTACATGACTGGAGACTTTATAAACACCGCACACTTAGGGTACACTAAGTTAATCAAAGCATACCTTTCCTTCGATAATAAATTAACATTAGCTTATTGTAACTTTTTGCCTGGTAAACGTTTTAATTTTTTTAACTTTTTGGTTCTTTGTAATCATTCTTAGTAATGACACTAATAATTACTTTTTTAATAACATGAATAAAACAAGCATGCTGTACAGCTGTATAAAAATGTTCTTTCTTTCTATTCTTATTGTATAAGCTCTTGTCTATTAAACTTTTTTAAACTTTTTTGTTAAAAACTAAGACACAACCACACACATGAGTCTAGACCTACACAGGGTCAGGATCATCAGTACCACTGTCTTCCAGGTCCACATCCTGCCCCACTGGAAGTGCTTCCGGGGCAATAACAAGCAAGGAGTTGCCATTGCCTCTGACAACAATGTCTTCTTCTGGAATCCTTCCTGAAAGACCTGCCTGGGGCTGTTTTACAGTTAACATTTTTTTAAAGTAGAAGGAATAACACTCTAAAATTATGATAAAGTATAGAAGAGCAAATGCATAAGTTGTATACACAGTAAAAACAGAAGTTGTTTACTATCAAGTATGATATACTGTACATGATCACGTGTGCTCTACTTTTATATACCTGGCAGCACAGTAGGTTTACTTACACTGGCAACACCACAAATATGATGGCTGTGATGTCAGTAGGTGACAGGAATGTTAAACTCTATTATAATCTTATGGGCCCCCATCACACACGCAGTCCGTTATTGACCAAAATGTCATTATGCACTGCATGACTGTATTTAAAGTGAGAAAATAAAATTTACTTTTCTGTGACTAATAACATTTACATACTTTTGGAGAAGACAGTTAATTTCTATTCTTATTTTTGATGGGATCAAAGGCACAGAAGGTAAAACTTCAATAGTGAGAAACAACACAATATAGCGACATTACCTCCCAATCGAACCTATAATTGGGAAATCAATATTTGAAGCTAAAGTATGACATGTTTTTGGTGTTTGTTTGTTTGTTTGTTTGTTGTAGGGTCAGCAGGACGCAGTGGCTCACACTGTAGTCCCAGTACTTTGGGAGGCCGAGGCTGGCAGATCCCTTGACCCCAGGAGTTTGAGACAAGCCTGGGCAACATGGCAAAACTCCTCTCTACAAAAAATACAAAAAAATTAGCCAGTGGCATGTGCCTGTGGTCTCAGCTACTTGGGAGATGAAGGCTGGAGGATCGCTTGAGCTGGGGAGGTGGCAGGTGCAGTGAGCCAAGATTGTGCCAATGCACTCTAGCCTGGGTGACAGAGAAAGACCCTGTCTCAAAAAAAAAAAAAAAAAAAGAAAGAAAGAAAAAAGAAAAGAGAGAGAGAGAGAGATCAAGGGATCATGCCTGGGCGGCAGAGTGAGACCTTGTCTCAAAAACAAACACAAAACTACAATAGAAAAAGAATGCTATGATTCAGAAACAGTTCCTTTAAAAGGAAAAAAATAAGAATGCCTGACACTGGGTGATAGATAATAAACAGAAATGTATTGGCTGAGAGCTCTGGAGGCTGGAGAGTCCAAGACCAAAGTGCCAGCACCTCACAAGGGCATTCTTGCTATGTCATCACATGATGGAAAGAGAAAGGGCAAAGAGCGCAAGAGAGAACCCCTCCTTGCCTGAGCCCTTTTGACAATGCCATGAATCCATGACAATGACTCCCATTAAGCCCCCACCTCCCCACACACTGGCACTGAGGATTAAGTTTCTAACACATGAATTCTGGGGGACATACTGAAACCATAGCAATTCCCAACAAGAAAATTTCTATTACCAAAGTCAACAAAGACTTTCATACTGCCAAATTCAATAGACATTTTTCCTCCTATTATTTCATCTCTTTCAATACAGTTGAGTACCACCTCCTTCTGTAAACATTTTCTTCCCATGGAGTTCGTGACATCTCATGACCCTCTCATGATCTATGGCAGCTTCTTCTCTGCCAGCCTCCAAATGTTGTTATGCCCAGTCCTCTGCCCTCAATATTCTTGTCTTACTAGCTACACACTCTCTATAGGTGACTTAATCCAGTCATGTGGATTTAAGATCATTTTACATGCTAATGTCACCCAAATTTTGTCTGTAACTATGACCTCTCTCTGATCTCCTGACTTCTCTGTTCAGCTGCCTCCTTCAATATCCATTTGAATGTCTAATGGCCATTTCAGAGTCAAAATATCCAAAATGAGGGGCCAGGTGCAGTGGCTCACGCCTGTAATCCCAGCATTTTGGGAGGCCAAGGTGGGCAGATCATGAGGTCAGGAGTTCAAGACCAGCGTGACCAACATGGTAAAACCCCGTCTCTAAAAGTACAAAAAAATGAGCTGGGCATGGTGGTGCATGCCTGTAATCCTGGCTACTCTGGAGGCTGAGGTGGGAGAATCACTTGAACCTGGGAGGCAGAGGTTGCAGTGAGCTGAGATTGCGCCACTGCACTCCAGCCTGGGTGACAGAGTGAGATTCCACCTCAAAAGAAAAAAAAACATCCAAAATGATGTTCCAGATTCCTAGCCCCAGCCTCAGGAAATGGTTACCACTACCCACCCAAGGGATCTAGGAAGCATCTTTGATTCCTTCATATCTCTCACTCCCACCACGCCGCCTCATTTCCAAGTCAACATGAAGGCGTGCAGGTTTCACTTCTCGTCCACGTGCTAATCTGTCCCCTTCTTTTCCTCTCTACTGCCGTTGTCCCAGTCCAGCGCACCATCAGTTGCAATGGCACCTTAGGTTGAGTTCCTCAGAAGCAAACCTTGAGATGAAGAGACTGTATGCAAGAGTGATTTGGTTTGAAGTATAACCAGGGAAACTGATAAGGGAGTGGGGAAATGTGGCTGAAAAATAAGAGGTTAAGCAGATGGGAAGTAGAAAGCAAATTCCTGCAGAGAGCAACTTGGGCTGAATGTCATAGAAAGCTCTGGAGACAAAGTTGTTCACCTCTCATACACAGTCAAGAGGCAAAGAAACAAATATTGATACTTGCAACTTTAGCTCAAAGGCTGCCCCAGTGTGGGGAGCAGGGTGTAAATTCCTGGGGACATCTAATTGAGTAGGTACACAAGTCCCAGCAGCCTGAGCTCTGTCCTCTAACAGATGCAGGTGTCAGCTGTACAGAGTGAGAGGACAGTGCTCACAGAACAGGTACGGGTATCCCAGGGCGCATGGGCAGGTATCTCAATCCAGTTGAGCCACTACAACAAAATACTTTAGACTGGGTGATCTCGAAACAATAGACATTTATTGCTCACAATTATAAAGGCTGGGAAGTCCCAATTCTATCATTTTAATTCCCAGATACAAATAAAATAAATTACGTTTATTCTTTTTTTTTTTTCAGCCAGGAGATGAAGTATACCCTAGAGATGAGAATGGCAAATGGTTATATCATAAGTCAAACCTGTGTGCCACTTGGGAAGTAAGTTCAAACGCGCTTCTTATTTTAAAAGATTACATTTGAAAAACTGTGATCTGATTATTCCTGTCAAGTTTATGGAGAGAGATGCACCCTTTACTTCTAATGAAAAGTAACAGAACAGGCATTTCTAATCCTAAGTAGAGGTATATGAAATCTCCACTTCTGGGTACTAAATAATTCTTACTTTTGTTTTGCTGGAATGCCAAAGAAAAGAGAGAGGTGTGGAAGGAAAAACGGTGTAAATGAAATATGTTCTAATATAAAAGTAATTAAAATATATGAATGAGATAAACTCACAAATTACAAAATAAATCTTAAATTGTTAATATGATGCCTAAAAGAAATAAACTTAAAATGATGCGTAAAAAGCTGAAAAAGAGGCCAGTTGCAGTGGCTCACACCTGTAATCCCAGCACTCTGGGAAGCCAAGGCGAACCGATCACCTGAGGTCAGGAGTTCAAGACCAGCCTGGCCAACATGGTGAAACTCCATCTCCACTAAAAACACAAAAACTAGCCAGGCAAGATTGGCCACGCCTATAATCCTGGCTACTCAGGAGGCTCGGGCAGGAGAATTGCTTGAACCTGGGAGGGAGAAGTTGCAGTGCATCGAGATTATGCCACTGCACCGTAGCCTGAGCGACAGAGCAAGATGATTCTGTCTCAAAAAGTAAAAATAAATAAAAACAAAAAAACTGAAAAACAATTCTGTTTTTTTATTTCTGGGCAACCTGTTGGCTCTTTTCCCAGGATCACAAGAGTAGACAACTATAGGAAAATAACAAATAAACTCTTATGGACTCACGGCAGGGAGGGATATTTTGAACTTATTTTCTTAGAGGTGGTGTGGCAGCTCTGACCTACAGTAGAAGGCAACTCAACAAGCAGGAAGAAGGTAATACAGGAGAGGAATGGTTGGTCTTTTTGCACTTCCTTCACCCCTGCCACAGCCTGAGAACAAAGATTGCCACACAGACGGAAACTCAGGTCTCATTCAGGTGTTTTCAGGAATCAAAGCAGAGCAGCCTTGAAATTCCGCACTTGTGCAAAGCTGAAGAAAAACCTAAGTTACCAACTAACCTCTGGCAGTTTTTTTTTCCCACCGATCCTATTCCAAACTCCAAACGCTTGGAAATTACACTCTGGAAAATACCTCTTTCTATATACTTGCCTCTGAGGTGACAGCTGAAGGTCTGAGCTGTGGAGTTGTTTAGAGAGGTGAGGAGGAATGATTTGTTTTCCAGTGCCCGGGGCTCTGTCCAAAAGAACACACAGTCACTCCAGACCTCATTGGAGCCAATCAGGTTTGGACATTTTGAACCTTCTCCTCTAAGAGACTGCCTAACAGGACAGCCAGTATCCCCAGGAAAAAAAAATGAGTTCGCCGCCCAAAGTAACAAGGCATTTGTTTCACAAGAAGACAAATACATCTCAATTACTGATTCCAACATAAACAGAACAGAGAACCGGGAACTTCTAAATTAACCAGTTAATATATTAGAGAACATAAGAAAAGATATTAGCAGTATGAAACTTGAACAAACAACATTTTTTAAAACAAACAAAAATAATAATTAAAATAATAAAAATACAATGCAATAGGTTGGGATAAATAGAAAATGGTCAAACTGAGATATCAGAATGAGGAAATCACTCAATACGAAGAAGGAAAGAACAAGAAACTTTTTTAGATATGAAGGAAAAGCTAAGAAATTCAAAGAATAAAATTAGAATTTTCCAATCTACACAACTGGAGTCTAAGGAAAAAGAAGAAAAGGAAAAGGAAACAAGAAGCTGGGCACGGTGGCTCATGCCTGTAATCCCAATGCTGTGGGAGACCGACGCAGGAGGATCACGTGAGCCCGGGAGTTCAAGACCGGCCTGGGGAACACAGTGAGACCCCCATCTCTACAAAGGAGAAAAGGAGGAAAGGTGAGGAATATCACGGGTGAGGTGGCGTACACCTGTAGTCCCAGCTACTTGGAATTCTGAGGTGGGAGGATCACTTGAGGCCAAGAGTTCAAAGCCACAGTGTGCTATAGTCATGCCTGTGAATGGCCACTGAACTCTAGCCTGGGCAACATAGCGGGATTTCATCTCAAAAAAAAAAAAAAACAATCTAACATAAAGAAAATGTTAAAACTTCGAGAGCATAACAAATAAGCCAATAAAGGAGGCAAAATGGAATAATAAAAATAACCCAAGACAAAGCAGAAAAAAAAAAGAGGGGCAATAAATAGATGAGAAAAATAGCAAACATTTAAACTCACTAATATCAATTATCACAGTATATATAAATGGTCTAAGCATCCCAATTAAAAGGCATAGATTGTTAGAATGGATACAAACCAAATCTCATTATGTAGTATAAACAAGAAACCCATCTTAAATAAAAAGTCACCAACAGGTTAAAAGCAAAAGCCTTTTCAAAAAGCAAAAGGGTAGAAAAAGATATATTAAGCTAACACTAGTAAAAATAAAGCTGGAGTTGCTATTTTAATATCAACAAATACTTCAGAGCAATGAGGATTACCAGGGATAAAGAAGATTATTATATAATGATAAAGGAGTCAATCATAAACATCTATGCCCCTAATAACAGAGCTCCAAAATACATAAAGCATGAACTAAGAGAGCTGAACAGAGAAAGAGAATAATCCACATTTATAGTCAGAGATTCTATTAAAAGGATATCATATTTAAATGATAAATAACAGAAAGAACTATAGGATAGGTGATTTAAACATTGTGTAACTTCTTGATCTAATGAACATTTATAGAACACTTCCCCCAAAATATAAGGGTGTTATTTTTAAAGTGCACATGAAACATTTAACAACATAGGCCATTTTTTGAGACATAACATAAATCTAAGTAAGTCCTCAAGTATTTTAATTATGCAAGATATGCTGTCTGATCAAACAGGAGGCACAGATGTAAATAACCCATAAGACCTAAAAAAATTAAAATCTTTATCTAGATGTAATTTACATATTAGCAATACATGACTGAAAATTATTTTTAAAAACAATACTAAACATTAAATATTCAGAGATAAATCTAAAAAAATATGTGCAAGAGCTATACAGTAAAAACTACAACTAATTACTGAAAGAAATCAAAGATGATCCAAAATTCAATGGAGAGATATACCATGTCCCTTGATCAGAATACTCAAGATGTTAATTCTCCCCAAATTCATCTTTAGAGTCAATATAATCCCAGTCAAAATCTCAACAGAAACAGAAAAGCTAATTCCAAAATGTATATGGCACCCGGTGCAATGGCTTAGGCCTGTAATCCCATCACTTCAGGAGGCCAAGGCAGGTGGATCACATGAGGCTAGGAATTCAAGACCAGCCTTGGAAACATGGCAAAACCCTGTCTCCACTAAAAATACAAAGCTTAGCCAGGCATGGTGGTGCCCATCTGTAATCCCAGCTACTTGGGAGGCTGAGGCATAAGAATCGCTTGAACCTGAGAGGTGGAGGTTGCAGTGAGCTGAGATCCTACCACTGCACTCCAGCCTAGGCAACAGAGTGAGATTCTGTCTCAAAAATAAATAAATAAAATAATATTTATATGGAAGTACAAATTAACCTACAATAGCCACAACTTTTTGAAAAAGAGCAATAGCCAAGCAGTGGCTCATACCTGTAGTCCCAGCACTTTGAGAGGCTGAGGCAGGAGGATCACTTGAGCCTAGGAGTTTGAGACCAGCATGGGGAACAGTGAGATCCCATCTCTACAAAAACATAAAACAATTAGCCGGGCATGAGGGTGGCATGTGCATGTGGTCCCAGCTATTCACGAGGCTGAGGCAGGAAGATCACTTGACCTGGTAGGTTGAGGCTGCAGTGAGCTACACCACTGCGGTTGAGCATGAGTGACAGAGCAAGACTCCATCTCAAAAACAAAAAGCAATAAATTTGGGGGACTTACACCAATTTCTTTTCTTTTTCTTTTTTTTTTTTTTTTTTTGGAGACAGGGTTTCATTCTAGTTTCCCAGGCTGGAGTGCAATGGCACCATCTCGGCTCACCACAACCTCTGCCTCCCAGATTCAAGTGATTCTCCTGCCTCAGCCTCCCAAGTAGACAGGATTACAGGCACGAGCCACCACGCGTGGTTAATTTTTTTGTATCATTAGTAGAGACGGAATTTCACCATGTTGGTCAAGCTGGTCTTGAACTTCTGACCTCAGGTGATCTGCCCACCTCGGCCTCCCAAAGTGCTGGGATTACAGGTGTGAGCCACAACGCCCAGCCAATTTATACTAATTTCAAGAATTATTATACAACTACTGAAATCATGACAGTGCCATATTAGCATAAAGAGGAACACATAGATCAATAAAACATTACAGAGCATGTTAAAATAGACCCATACACATATATGGTCAGTTGATTTTCAGCAGAAATGCCAAGGTAATTCATTGGGGGAGGGATAATCTTGTACTAAAACTGGCTCATACCAGCTTGCAAGAACCTGTCTGCAAACCTCTTCCTCACTCCACATTCAGTGATGTTGGGTTGTTAGCTTGAGTGCAGCCTGGTGTGAATAGTTACATCGCAGACATTGACAAATGCTACAAACTGGGAAACTTTTTTCTCCCTGGATGGCTGGTTGTTAAACATCTATCAGTATTCCACTGGAGGTGTTCATGATCTTGATTGTGATGATGATTTTACTGGGTATGCATACATTAAAATTCCTCAAAATGTACACTTCAAAAACGTGTAGTTTATTGCACATCAATTATAACTCACCAAACTATAAGGCAAAAATGATGCATGATAAAAAGTTCCACATCTAAACATGCTCAGAAATTTTGCCACATAAAGACACACACTGGAAATCGTTAGGTCTGATTTATGTACTAAGTAAAAGGAACAAAAATCTAACAGATGCTCTAAAAAATGTATAAAGTGAAAGTGATCAAAGTATGCATTATCTATAAAAATATTTAAGATCAAATAATAAAAGGAAAATGAACTCTTAATACGCTACAATGAAAGCTTAACAGATATACTAATTTTAAGCATATATGTACCAAATATCTTCAAAACATAGAGAACAAAAAATTGACAGAATATAAGAGGACATTGGCCAAGCATGGTGGCTCATGCCTGTAATCCTAGCACTTTGGGAGGCCAAGGTGGGAGGATCGCTTGAGGCCAGGAGTTTGAAATCAACCTGGGCAACATAGTGAAACACCTCATCTCTAAAAAAAATTTAGGCAGTGTGTTTGCACATGCTTGTAACCTAGCTACTCAAGACTCTGAGAAGGGAGGATCTCTTAAGCCCAAAAGTCAAGACCGCAGTGAGCCAAGATCCCACCACATCACTCCAGCCTGGCTGACAGAGCAAGATACTGTTTCAAACACACACACAAACACACACATACACACACACACACACACACACAGAACATTGATAAATCACCAGTATAGTAGGAGATTTTCACATATTCCTTTTAGTTTTTGACATATTCTTTCTGTTAATTTTGACATAATAATTTCAGTTATTGAGGAGCCTAGAAGAGTTAGACCTAATTTTATAGACAACATGTGTGTATGTATATTTACAAACATATATGCATGAGAGAGAGAAGAGGGGCAGTGTTACATCCCAAAATGGGAGAATATATCTATTTCATATATACCAGAATGTTTATAACAATTGCTGGCTGGGTGCAGTGGCTCATGCCTGTAATCCCAGAACTTTAGGAGGCTGAGGCAGATGGATCACCTGAGGTCAGGAGTTTGAGACCAGCCTGGCCAACATGGTGAAACCCCATCTCTACTAAAATTTCAAAATTAGCTGGGTGTGGTGGCAGGTGCCTGTAATCCCAGCTACTTGTGACTGAGGCAGAAAAATCACTTGAACCTGGGAGGCAGAGGTTGCAGTGAGCTGAGATCGCAACATGGCATTTTAGCCTGGGCAACAAAAGCGAAACTCTATCACACACACACACACACACACACACACACACACACACACACACACACGTGTGTGTGTGCCCAGGTACTATGGCATAAAGAATAAAAAAATTTCAGGAAATAGAATCATTTTTTAAAAATGTTTTTGATTGAGACAGAGTCTCTGTTGCTCAGGCTGGAGTTCAGTGACACAGTTATAACTCACTGCAGCCTCAATTTCCCCAGCTCAAGTGGATCCTCCCACTTCAGCCTCCTAAGTAGCTGGGACTACAGGTATGCGCCACCATGCCTAGTTAATTCTTGATTTTTAGTAGGGACAGGGTTTGACTATGCCTCTGCCTGCCAAAGTGCTGGGATTACAGGTGTGAGCCATCACACCCCACCTGAGATCACTAATGTGCTGGTAAATACCTTGAGAAAATACAAGGAGAAGATATGGCATACAAATATTTTCCAAACTCAATCATAGAATTACTGCCTTTTCCTCTTTTACTTTTTCGCAGGATGCTTATTAACATACCCAGGAACTTTCCTTTTTAAAGAATTCACCGTCACCCTTCTAAACATTCATTCTTGCTTCTTGTGAGGCTTGTTTCTTGACCCGTTGACATTTGCTCTACAGGCTATGGAAGCTTGCAAAGATGCTGGCTTGGTGAAATCCCTGGGAGTGTCCAATTTTAACCGCAGGCAACTGGAGCTCATCCTGAACAAGCCGGGACTCAAACACAAGCCAGTCAGCAACCAGGTACGGCCTAATAGCTTGCACTGGGATGTGGGGAGTGGGCAGGATTTACTAACACCAAGAAGCCTCAGCTGGGAGTCAGGAAGGCTCATGATTGCCCCACCTAAATCTCATCATGGGACCCTGTGCAAGTCTTCAGCCTTCTTTCTATTGGTGTCACTTAATAAACAGACTTGGAAGTTCAAACCCAGGCAAAAGTAACCAAAAATGTTTTTGAAGAAGCAAATAAGGGAGATAAGAGTTACCAGATTTTAAGATAGAACATAGAGTCTTTAAAGTAATGTAAGAGTGGTACAAGAACCAACATATGAAAAAGTGGGAAATAACAGATAACTTAGAAACAGGCTCAAGTATAATAAAGAGCTTAATACAGAAGAAAGTAGCACAAACTAATGGCAAAGGGATACCTTTTCCAGTAAATATTGTGAGAAAAATTGCTAACTATGTAGAAACAAGCCTAGATCTTTGCCTCATAACTCCAAGGTTAATGTATCTCTGATCAGGAGCTTAAGAAGAAAGAGAAAATTATTTGTACATTCTACAAAAGAATTTTAGGTTTCTGAAGCTGCAAACGGAAGATAGAAGAAGATAGAAAAGGAAGCCATAAAAAATCATAAAGAAAACTTTGATTAATAGTACAAAAATGAGAAACTAAAAATACTAGGAACAGTTAAAGAACACACAAAAATAGATAACTATATTTTGTAACATAGAAAAGCCTCATGTCCTTGTGAGTTAAGAGTCTAGGCCAGGCGCAGTGGTTCATGCCTGTAATCCCAGGACTTTGGGAGGCTGAGGCAGGTGATCATGATGTTGGGAGTTCAAGACCAGCCTGACCAACATGGTGAAACCCCGTCTCTACTAAAAATACAAAAATTAGCCAAGCATGGTGGTGTGCACCTGTAATCCCAGCTACTAAGGAGGCTGAGGAAGGAGAATCACTTGAACCCAAGAGATGGAGGTTGCAGTCAGCCAAGATCACACCACTGGGCAACAAAGCAAGGCTGTGTCAAAAAAAAAAAAAAAAAAAAAAAGTAATAAAAATCAATGAGAAAAAACACTAAGGCTCAACAAAAAAAGGAGTAAAAGAAATGAACAGAAATCCACAAAGGACAAATTGCAAGACTGGCAAATATGAAAAATGTTAAACTCACTATTAATTAGAGAAACTTAAATTCAAGTGTGATTCTCTACTGCACATCGAATTAGCAAAGTTTTTGTCTTATTAATATTTTAAAATATAATGCCCTCACGTAGGCAAGTGATGAAATGCTAGTGAGTGCAAATTGGTTCAGCCTTACTAAAAAACAATTTGGCAGTACGTATGAAGGCCCTTAAAAAATGTTCAGTCTTCTGTTTCTAGTAATCTGCCCTAATAAAAATATCAGAATCCTCAGATGGACTGATGTATGTTTACTACAGCATTGTTTATAATGGAAAAACAATGGAAACAACATAATACAAAAAATTAAGGGAATTATTAAATAAGTTATAAGACATTCATATTATGTGAAGTCTTAACAAAAGATGTTTTTGAATCCATTTTAAGGAAGCAAAAGGAACAAGATATTAAAGGACAGACTAGGACGTAAAATGTATACAGTATGAAGGAGATTCTATTAATAAAATGGATCTTATTGAAGAATAGTTTGTTAACTACAAAATTGCATTCAACAACATGGCCCTGATTTTGTGGTCTGCTCTCCAATGCAACTACATAGGTTGAGTGCCATCCATATTTCACCCAGCCAAAACTCCTGAAATTTTGCCAACAACATGACATTGTCATTATTGCATACAGCCCTTTGGGGACCAGTAGGAATCCATTCTGGTAAGTAAAGCTTCAGGAAGTATCTCCTTTGGCGTAGAGTGTGAGGCTCGTGGGAATTACTGTACTTGATTGGAATGCCTTTCGGTTTGCCTCTGCAACCTCTTCAAGTCACTATCTGTATATATGAATTAGAGCTTTTCATGCTTTCCTCACTGAGATGTTGTAAGATCGATTACATTATAGGTATGAAATTGCCTATCAGTGCCTGCTATATAGGACTGGTCAGTAAATGTTAGTTTAATTATTATTTGACACAGGAGCTTCTATGGCCATGTGTTACAAGTTTTGAATTTTTTGATCTCTGTATTCAGTAGTGATACTTCTCCTATGATGTGTCCCATAAACTTAAGTAAAAATTTTTCTGCTCTAAGATGATTCCAAAAGCTGTGTCTCTATTTCTTCCACTTCAGTCTTCCTGCCTTTCCCTATATGCCAGCTCTCTCTGTAAGTCTCATCAAAAAATATTATTTACCCTCTGAAGGAGGCAGCTCCATAAACTTGCCTCTTTTGATCCCCCATGCTAAGAGTAACTCTCCATTCAATGCATACTCTGAACTCAAAGAAACTAGTTACTGGTGACCTGCAGGTGACGGGGTGAATGGGAAGACAGAGGAGGAGGGTGGTTGATTGACCTTTGGTTCTCATTGAGCAAACTAATTGTGATTCATGTTTTGATATTTTTAAGGGTGGATGTTTCTATTCCTCCTTTGTTAAAAGATACACTTCTAAACTCATTGGGGGAAAAGTACAAGAAGACAGCAGCTCAAATTGTTTTGCGTTTTAACATCCAACGAGGGGTGGTTGTCATTCCTAAAAGCTTCAATCCTGAAAGGATCAAAGAAAATTTTCAGGTAAAAGAATTGTTTTTGGAAATGTGAAAAGATGGGTTTTTTTTGCTGTGTTTGCTTTTATAGAACGTTATGTTCAGCTTAACAGGAAATTTGTAACGCTTTCATATTTTATTTTATACCACCTTTTTGACCTGTGTAGCCCATATCTAGGTTTAACTTACACTGAATTTCAGACAACTGCTAGTACTTCAGAGACTGCTTTCCTACTTGTACACTATCCAGCTGCCTCATATTTCTTTTTCCTTATCTATTTTTTATTTCTTTCTTAAAAAATTTTTTTGTAGAGACAGGGTCTTGCTATGTTGCCCAGGCTGGTCTGGAACTCCTGGCTTCAAGCGATCCTTCAACCTTGACCTCCCAAAGTTCTGGGAAGATGGGGGTGAGCCACTGTACCCAGCCTCTTCCCTTATCTGTTGGCTCTTGGCACCACCTACTCACTTCTCTACCCACACAACAGAATTGAGAGTGAAAAAAATTTGGAATTCATAATAGTCAACATTCCACCTTCTTAATGGCTCTGGTAAAAGTTGAGGACAAATTTGAAAATTATTGAAGAGGACCATTTAGACTTTATGAATGCTAAGTGCCTTTATATCTATATATATCTCTGTAAGTAATCTATGACCTACATTGTAATTTCCAGATGAAGAAAGAACTAGACAAAAGAGGGATTCATTTATTCTGCTACTACCAAAGACTAAACGGCTAGGTAAATACACCCATAGAAAAGTACCATATAAAATTAACCACCATTAGTTAATAATTTATATTTCAAAAGTAAATTGTTTAGCCTTACTCATAGTTAAAGATAAATAAAAAATAAGATACTAGTTATCCCTTCATATCAGAAAATAATCAAAATACTTGATATTTGGGGAAATAGTATATGAAAATATACTATTGTTAGAAACATTAATTGGTATGAAATTTGGAAGAGTAAGGTATCAGTATTTCACGTTCATCAAAATTCAAATGTATTTATTACATGATTGATTCATATGTGGAATCTAAAAAAGTTAATCACACAAAAGTAGAGGGTACAATAGTGGTTACTGGAAGCTGAGGTGATTGAAAAATACAAAATATTAGCCGGGCGTGGTGGCATGTGCCTGTGGTCCCAGCTACTTGGGAGGCTGAGACAGGAGAATCGCTTGAATCCCGGAGGTGGAGGTTGCAGTGAGCTGAGATTGCTCCACTGCACTCCAGCCTGGGTGACAGAGGGAGACTCCATCTTAAAAAAAAAAAAAAAAAGAAAAGAAAAAAGGAATAAATGTCAAGAGATCTATTGTACAACAAGCTGCCTATAGTTGATGATGATATAGTGTATTCTTGAAAAATATAAAGAGAGTTCATGTTGTGTGCTCTTCCCACAAAAATGATAACTATATGAGGTAATGCAGTTGTTAATTAGCTAAATTTAACCACTCCACAATTTATAGATATGTCAAAACATCACGTTTTATAGGATAAAAACATACCATTTTATCTGTCAAATAAATTCAAATACACATATCCATTGACTCAGCAATCTTATCCTATTGATGTATTTGCACATACATACATGTATCCACATACACACAGAAACACACAGATGTTTATTATAGAATTATTTTTATAATTTTTTAAAAACTCAAAACTATCTTCAACCAGATTTTATAAAACAAGCTATGACATATTTGTACATTGAAATATTATATTGCCATTTAGAAATATAAGTACTGGCATAGGAAGGTATCCATAATATTAGACAATTACATCTTCAGAGCTTTTTTGCTACATGATAGAATGCAGCTCAAACTTTAGCAAAGAAAAAAAAGATAATTTATTGGCTCACATAACCAGAAAGTCCATGGGTAGATCAGAAATGGCTAGACACAGGTACTCAAATGATTTACAAAGATATTTAGTTCGTTTTCTCTCTCTCTCTCTCTCTCTCCTCTCCCTCTCTCTCTCTCTTTCTCTCTCTCTCTCTCTCTCCCCCCCCTTTCTCCTTTCTCTCCACCCACATGGTGGTACAGACAATTCCTAACAGCTCCAGGATAATCAATTACTCATATTCAGTGAAGAGTGAAGGTGATCAGAAACAAAGGCTTCTCTCAGGGTCTCTACCAATCCCTGATTAGCTCTTTGGGGTCATCCTGATATTACTCACTGGGACACTGAATAGGATAACCTGATTGGTCCCCTGGGCTACATCCCTACTCCAGTGCTGAAGGAGGTAACAGAGAGCTCCACTGGAAGAGGGAAGGGAGGTTCAAAAAAAAAAAAAGGAGGAAAAGATGCTGAACAGTTACGTCAACTCCTGACAATGCTTTAACATTTGCCAAAATGCCTCACACTAAAAAGTGACTGACACCCTTTTCCACAATCTTAAAAGAGAAAGAGATCAACTGCATGACTAATGCGTAGGTTCACTGAAGATTAAAACAAGTTTTAATGCACTTTTCGGGGACTGAAAATTTTGCTGTTCAAAAATTATGAGAGTGTTACAAGTGACCTTTGCAATGGAAGGCATTTGAACTTTATGGCATGCAGCCAATCACGATTTTGTACCAGAGAAAATGCCACTCTCCTTGAAATTGTCATTGTAACTAATTCTGTTATATTCCATATGTTTCCATAGCCTTGATAATAACAGAATGGATCTCAGAGGTCACATATTCCAAGAAAATATAAAAGGAACATAGATTTAGAAGGAAAATGAGAATGAAAATCACGGCCAATTCTTACTCTTTTGGGAATAGATTTACTCAATAACCATGAATTTTGCTGGGTATGAAACCAAGAAGCAATAAAATTAAATATTATGTTCTCTTAGAATGAAGGCAAAATAAACTGTTAAAAATATTTTAAAAGAATGGTAAAGAGCAATAAAACATAAAGAATAAAGGGAAAAATATTTTGATGCTAAAAGAAGAACAAAAAAATATATATGTAATAAAATGTTAAGACTGGGCACAGTGGTTCAGCCTGTAATCCCAGCACTTTGGGAGGCCGAGGCAGGAGGATTGCTTGAGGCCAGGAGTTTGAGACCAGCCTGGCAACAAAGCAAGATCCCATTGCTTTAAAATTTTTTTTTTAAAAAGTTAAGGTAAACCATAAGTTTAGGCTGGGCACGGTGGCTTAGGCCTGTCATCCCAGCACTTTGGGAGGCCAAGGTAGGCGGATCACCTGAGGTCTGGAGTTTGAGACCAGCCTGGCCAACATGACAAAACCCCATCACTACTAAAAATACAAAAATTAGCCAGGCATGGTGGTTGGCGCCTGTAATCCCAGCTACTCAGGAGGCTGAGGCAGGAGAATTGCTTGAACATGGGAGGCGGAGGTTGCAGTGAGCCAAGATCATGCCGTTGCACTCCAGTCTAGATGACAAGAGCGAAACTCTGTCTCAAAACAAACAAACAAAAACCATGAGTTTAAAAACTAGATAAAATTAATGGTAGAAATGCAGAAAACTAATATGGAGCCAGAATATTTTAAAAGTTAAAATTTAAAGTGTATATATGAAATTATACCAGGTGCAGTCCAGCGTTGTTGCCATCATCCATTGTCCTCCATTCTTTGAAGACGTTATCTCTGGGCTGACTTTCACTTTCTCTAACACTCTTCTTCTCGTAATTCTTTGTGAATTCAACATCCACACCAGTCATTCTCTGCCCTTACCTGACAGCTCTTTGACTTCCTCTCCCAAAAGAATCTTGTCCTATATATTTCAACCACTCATTCCCATGGCTATCCCTTGGAAATTGCAATGACAAATGCCCAACAAATCCTCCATAGCCTCAATTTCAAACATTTTCCTCTCTTTCCTACACTAGCAATGGTTCCTCTCTACTGTGCAACTCCCACCAGCATGCACATAGGTAGTAACCTCCTATCTTAAAAAATAAAATCCAATCTAGACTCACATTCCTCTCTATTATCCACTTCTCTCTTTCTGTTTCAAACATCTTGAAAGAGGAGTTGTTCCTGATGCTTTCCATTCCCTTCCCCCACTATCTCGTGAACCCATTCAAACCAAACTCTCACCCTGACCATCCACTGGAACAGCCCTTGTCAAAGTCACCGGTGACCTCCACATCGCTAGATCCAGTAATTCTCAGTCCTTGTCCCACTCGATCTTTCAACCACATCTGATACAGTCGACATTCTCTCCTTCTTCAGACATTTACTGAAATGGAAAACTGCAGGAGAAGCAGTTTGAGAGGAACCCCCAGGAGCTCAGTTTTGTAATATGAGATCCTCATTCACTTAGGGTAATTTGTGCCATGGGAGGAAAAAAAAGACCACTGAAAATCAATCCACATAAAACAAGAAAAAAAATTACATAGAAATAATGTACAGAGGATGAATTTGGAAGCTTATATTAAGATTGAAACCAAAGTTTATGAAAGTCAGTTTCCTTTTATTCTCAACACGATATAGGTTACACATTGCATGTTTACTAACTCAGAAGAAACAGTGAATCCATGTTGATTTTTAAAAATATGCTTCACAAAATTACATGACAACACAACAGGACATCCTCTATTTCACAAAAGATTTGCAGAACGTTCATAAAGAGAACAATTCTTACAAAAATTTTGGAGGGCTTCATCTGAAGGAGATTTTTAATTCTTTAATATGTTTTCAAGTCATGCTCTTTTGATATGTCTATCAAAGTAGATTTTAACTGTGCAGGATTCTTTTTTTAAAAAAGATCATACCTATAATTAGAACAAATTATATTTTTCTAAGATCATTTTCCAAGATCATTTTCATTGATTGAATAAAATCCTGCATCTTTGCAAGAGTTGCAACCTCACTTTGCCATTAGGTTACACTATATATTTACTGGATAAGAGGCTGACCCACCAAGACTTAAAGGACAGGACTAGCATTTAGCAAAAAGGAAGTCTGGGTAAGAATTCATTTTATAGGCAATTCATTCATTTTTATATTGTGCAAAATTTTGATTCCTTATGTAAACTCATAAATGCCAATACTTAGATAATAAATCATTTTTTAAAATGGTTCTCTGAAAAGAGTACTTGGAAAGAATCCATGGAGGGATAATTAAGTAAATTGTATTCCCCCATACAACGAATACCATGATGAAATGAATAAAGTCAGGTTGCATATTATGATAGAACCATCACTGAGGTCACTATGATATTATGTGAACAAGGGAAAGTTGTAGAATTATAAAGATATGGTCCAATGAGTGCATTTTCCTCTTGATGTGTGTAGTGTTTGGGAGGAATATCTGGGAAGGGAAATAAGACTGGGGTGATGAGTGACAAGACTTTCATTATTTATTCCATGTAGGTCTATGTACTTCTACAGTGTTTCATTTCTTTGCAAAGACCATATATTTATGTACTACTTATATAATTAAAATCTATTAGTCATTAAATATATTAAAATAAAAGTTAAAGGATAGAAATAAAATAATAAAGAGAAGATAGGTTATATACAGATAACCCAAATGTTAAAAATAAAAGTGAAAATAAAATATATAAATGATAATGAAAGACAGTTATAAACCAGAATATTAATAAAGTATGAAAGCTAAGAAAAATAAAACAATGAAAATTAGAATAAAAGGTAGAAGAGACATCAAAATGATGAGAGAAATCATTTCAACATAGCAAATTAAAAGCTAAAAACAAAACAAATTAAAAGTTTGTTTAAAAAGCAAATTAGGCCAGGCGCAGTGGCTAATGCCTATAACTGAAGCACTTTTATAGAGCCAAGGTGGGAGGATCACTTGAGCTCAGGAGTTTGAGACCAGCCTGGGCAATATGGTAAAACCCCATCTCTATAAAAAATACAAAAATTAGTTGGGCATGGTGGCAGGTGCCTGCAGCCCCAGCTACTTGGGAAACTGAGGCACAAGAACAGCTTAAACCCAGGAGATGGAGGTTTCAGTGCGCCAAGATGGTACCACTGCACTCCAGCCTGGGCGACAGAATGAGAGCCTGTCTCAAACAAAAAAGCATATTTACAGACAGAATTTTATAAGTGTAAGATAGTAGTTCAGAATCGAAAGCTAAGCATCTCATACAGAAGTAAGAATTCTTCACATTTGAGATTTTAGGAGATTTCATTAACATTTGTGGTTTCAGAGCATTTGGAATTTCTTGTAAGATGTCCCCAGAAAGATGGTCTTGAAGACATAGGGCAGAACAGAGTATCCAGCGTCACATCAGTGGGCAGCCCCCCAACACCAGCCTAACTCCTCTTAGACATTTGCAGAGATAGTCATGTATCTTTGAAAGGCTCCCACTGGTGGCCCCACTTTCTAATCCCAAGCTTGACCTCCAAAAATGTTCTATTATTTCCATGATTTCAGATCTTTGACTTCTCTCTCACTGAAGAAGAAATGAAGGATATTGAAGCCTTGAATAAAAATGTCCGCTTTGTACAATTGCTCATGTAAGTCTGGGGATCATTAATGGGGTACTGGCCAGTAGTGTTGAATAGTCATGTGTCAAACAACAAGTCTCATATAAACCCTGACCTACGTCCATAGCACCAAGGCAAAGCATGGTGGGCCACATGTTCTGAACGTTAACAGGCCTGGGGGAAATACATCCACTACAGGACCTTCCACAACTTTACACTCTCACCAAAAAGAAGAGTCCTGGCATGTGTGGCATTCTGTGACTTAGGTTAAGGCACGCAAGTTAAAGAACTTGAGGAGAATTAATTCATTACATACATATGCTAAAACAACAACAGCACAAATGTTGAAACTTATTTATTTATTCCTAAATGTCAAAGTGATGCACAAATTAGAGCAAAGTTATTTTTAAAAATTTTTGAAAAAGAGGCATGATGATGTTGTAAAAAAAGCACCAGGTTGAAAACCAAGAACCGGCCGGGTGCGGTGGCTCATGCCTGTAATCCCAACACTTTGTGAGGCTTAGGCAGGTGGATCACGAGGTCAGGAGTTAGAGACCAGCCTGGCCAACATGGTGAAACCCTATCTCTACTATAAATACAAAAATTAGCTGTGTGTGGTGGCACACACCTGTAGTCCCAGCTACTCAGGAGGCTGAGGCAGAAGAATTGCGTGAACCCGGGAGGTGGAGGTTGCAGTCAACTGAGATCACACCACTGCACTCCAGCCTGGGCAACAGAGCAAGATTTCATCTCAAAAAAAAAGAAAGAAAGAAAGAAAGAAAACCAAGAACCTAGATTTAGACAAACACTTTCTTGCCTATAAGATTTTTATTTCTAGCTCTACCTATTAGCTCTATTCCCACAAGCAAAATTCCAAATATTCCTTTAAAATGTCAGGTTCAACTAACCAACTGAAGTAGCTCTTTACTCTCTAACTATTATGGGCCCTTTAAAAAAGAGTATAGTTTCTATATATGTGTGTACAGATCTACACACATACATATATATACTCACATACACACACACATGCATTTCTTTCTTCTTAATCATTCTCTATTAATCTTTCCAGTTCTTCAAATCACCTGAATAGTCATCTTCATCTTGAATCTTTAAGTGAGCATACAGAAAATCCTAAGATGATTCATATAGTTTGGACACTTACTTTATTAATCCCACTGTTTTTCATCAGAAAGTACACTGACTGGACTATTACTGAATTTCTGAATTAAACATCTTCCTAGTGGAGAATTTCCAGGGGGGAAATTGACATCAAAAGGCACCACCCAGCCTCAAGAACAAAAGAGTAACAAAAGAGTAGACACAAACACGTAAATGATATTTTCCCAGAACTAACAATGATAGGTTAATTAATAGCTCTTGAAGATAAATGATGTCTATTGAATCAATAGCATATGGTTAAGAAGAGAAGCCAGGTGCAGTGTCTCATACCTGTAATACCAGCACTCTGGGAGGCTAAGAGAGCAGAATCACTTGAGGCCATGAGTTCAACATCAGCCTGAACAAAATAGCAAGACCCATCTCTGTAAAAAATTTAAAAATAAGCCATCGTGGTGCCACACACCTGTAGTCCTAGCTACTCAGGAGGCTGAGGTGAGAGGGTCACTTGAACCCAAGACTTTGAGTGAGCTATGACCATACTCCAGCCTAGTAAACAGTGAGGCCCTGTCTCTCTTAAAAAACAAAACAAAACAAAACAAAAAACCCATATAATCAATCCACCAATGTACTAATTGTTTTACAGACAGTTGGTGACATTATTCAGTTTGACATTTGACATATTTAAAAGCAATTCTAGCAACATAGGGGAAAAAAATAACTCTTACCAGGAAATAACTAGAAAAATCAGCAGGGTGAAACCAAAATTAGGCGCCATTAATCACAAATACTGTCTCATTTAGGGATGCTTGGCCATGATTTTTTATCAGCTTTTTGTCCAGTTGGTTTTTTACATTTGAGAATCTTAGTATTTTCCATTTTCATTTACAGTGCATGCAGAAAACTAAACCAGGAACACACACATTCCAGACATTTTACAGACCATTTTACCATTGTTATTTAAGAGCTAATTCACTATCATCATCATCATGAAGGAAACTTATTTTGCTACTCACCACCTTTCTAGATCTCAAACTTTCAACACACAGGAAGGTCTAGTGAGAGGGGCAGGTAAAAATGCTGATGAGGCTGGGTGTGGCGGCCCACACCTGTAGTTCTAGCACTTTGGGAGGCCATGGCAGGGAGACTGCTTCAGCCCAGGAGTTCAGACCAGCCTGGGCAACCATGGTGGCACATACCCATAGTCCCAGCTACTTGGAGGCTGAGGCAGGAGGATTGCTTGAGCCCAGCAGTTTGAGGCTGCAGTGAGCTATGATCATGCCACTGCACTCCAGGCTGAGTGACAGAGCAAGACCCCATCTGTTTAAAAAAAATGCTGATCAGCAGAGGGTGACACTGATAATTAGAGTTTCAAAGAGAAATGCCTATGTAACACATTGGAGAAACAGGCAGCCAGTGTCAAGGGAGCAGAAAGGGGGAGGGAGAAGGGAAGGGGCATGCGCACATGACGTGCCTAAGACATGATTCACCTCTGGGGATTCTGTTCTGTTGATGTGGTGGCTGCCAACTTTCCTTCAACACACTCACATCCAGGGGGCTGTCCAGAGCTTCAGGAAAAGGTGCTGGCTAGAGGGAAAACACAGGAGAGCAGGTAAGAAATGGTAGATGAATGAATAGGAGAGGGGAAGTCGTCAGTGAAATTCTCAAAGGATGCCAGTGGCAAATACAGCTGTGCAATTTTGGAGTGAACTTTTTTCTGTGGGGCAATTGTTTTGGCAGGTGGCGTGATCATCCTGAATACCCGTTTCATGAGGAATACTGACTGCAGGGTGTTCCTGAACAGATTTTTCGCTCCCACTAGTGCCAAGACTGTGGGATGGGTAGTCCCCTGGATGTGAAAATGAAAGGGGTTTTACCATCCTGAGGTGAAATAATGATGGAAATGTGTTTAACGTTTGTGTGGTGTCAGTGACTTTGAACTAGTCACATTGAAGTAAAAATATTAAAATCTGTTGAAATAACTCTTAGGAAATTATCAACTAATTTGTTTTTAGATCAATATCTTCTAGGATCCAGACAGAAAAAATTAGACTTCAGAAAAGACATCAAAGGCAACGTATGAGAACATGTAACTCATGAATCTGGGTAGTACCATTGGTAATCTGAGTTCTTTAAGAGTTAACAGAACAACAAAGTACATGTGGCAGTGTGCTGGCAGTGGCCCTGAGGCTTTGGATCATTGGTTATAAAACAGACAGAGCTAAGATAAGATCCGCACGTGCATTATTAACAAGGAAGTGATTTGCTCCACCTTGAGTAGAGAGGTCTACCTGGAGAAGAGTCTTCAAACAGAGCTAAACACCACAGTGGTCAACAAAGCCATCACGATGTTGTTTGTTTCCAGCCAATGTATCTTTGTTTAGCTTTTATCCAGCTTGAAGAATGGAAACTTAAGCGGATCTCTCTTGCATCCTTAAAGGGCCTGAGCGTCAACATGGCTGGTGATGCATAGTTACACAACTTACGATCAGTCTTACCTAAGTTGATTACAAAACCACTATTATGTGAAAAGGCTTGAAACAACCAACAGACACAAATAAAACCCTGCCTTGTAAAATAGTTCTCAGATGGCTATTTTAAAAGAAGGATTTAAAAAGGAAACTTTGGGAAATATATTGAAAGAAGGTGCTTTATACGATTATTGTACTTAAGACGTTAACAGTGTTACTGGGATAGCTTCTATAAATTTTGAGAAAGTAGCAAGTTTAAAACACTGGTAATTTTACTGTATGTCCAGTTTAAAGAGTGAATTAGATTACTAGAATTCAGCAATAGAGATATATCTATTTTCAATTCAACTACAGAAATATATTTTAATCATTCACATTAGGTCACTGTCACAGGATGAGACAGTTCTTCAAAAATTATGTTTTCCTGAGATCAGTTGCTTATAGATAATGTTCAATGACATCAAGACATGCATTTCTGAGAAATTATCACTTTTAAAAATTTGATCTCTACTGATTGTTTTCACTGATTCCAACATTATTATTTACAACACTGCCCTCTGGAAAATATTTTGTTCACAAGAAATAATAAAGTATAATGATTTGTTGCATCATATGAATCTCCATTCTCTTTCTAAGTAGGGGGAGGGGAAGAATCATCTGAAGCCAATTAAATTAAAAGGACTTTGATTGAATTCCTGCTGTACATTTGGCACTGGGAAGACAGGAAAGAAAAGGGGGTGCCACTAGGCATGGTGACTCATGCCTGTAATCCCAGCAATTTGAGAGGCCAAGGCAGGTGAATCACGTGAGCCCAGGACTAGCCTAGGCAACATGGCAAACCCCATCTCTACCAAAAAAATACAAAAATTAGCCAGGAGTGGTGGCACACACCTGCAGTCCCAGCTACTCAGGAGGCTGATGTGGGAGGATCACTTGAGTTGGGGAGGCAGAGGTTGCAGTGAGCCAAGATTGTGCCACTGCACTCAAGCCTAGGTGACAGAGTGAGATTCTACTCAAGGAAGAAAGGAAGGAAGGAAGGAAAGGAAAGAGGGAGAGGGAGGGAGGGAGGAAGGGGGGGACAGGGAAAAGAAAGAAAAAGAGAGAAAGAAAGGAAAGAAAGAGGAAGGAAGGAAGGAGGGAAGGAGAGAAAGAAGGAAAGGGAAGGAAGGGAGGGAGGGAGGGACAGGGGAAAGAAAGAAAAAGAGAAAGCAAGAAAGAAAGAGAAAGAAAGAGGAAGAAAGGAGGGAGGGAGGGAAAGAAGGAAAAGGAAGGAAGGAAGGAAGGAGGGAAGGGAGGGAGAAAGAAAAGGAGGGAGGGACAGGGGAGAGAAAGAGAGAGGAAGGGAGGGAGAAAGAAAGAAAAGAAAAGAAAAGAAAAGAAAAGAAAAGAAAGAAGGAAGGAAGAAAGGAAGAAAGAAAGAAAAGGGGGTACTATTATAAAAGAGCAGGAACTTCAGTCCTGGTCTCTGTTGTCAAAGCCCTTCAAAATACTTTGAGGGATTAGTGTAGAGATGAAAATGGAAACAACACCTATCAAAGCATTGTTAAGACAGGCATTGGTAAAAAGTCCCACCGTTTGTCAGCAAAAAGGTATTTCTAATAATTGGAGGAGAGCAATCCTCTCTTAGTCATAACAGAGATGGAGGGAAAAGATCTGGAGACAGTAGGAGGGTCAGGAAAGAAGAAGTCTGATGGAAGTTTCTACATCTTCCTTCTCTCTCACTGTCACCCCTCTCAAGCTTCCTATCTGTTATGGGTTGAACTGTGCCCTCTCAAAATTTATATGTTACTGCCCAGCCCCCATGACCTCAAAATGTGATCCTATATAAAAATAGGGCCAGGTGTGGTGGCTCATGCCTGTAATCTCAGCTATTTGGGAGGCTAAGATGGAAGGATTGCTTGAGGCCAGGAGTTCAAGATCACCCTCGTCAACAGAGTGAGACCTCATCTCTACAAAAATTTTTGAATTAGCTGGATATGGTTGTGCACACAAGGAGTCTCAGCTAGTTGGGCAGCTGAGGCAGGAGGACTGCTTGAGCCCAGGAGTTTGAGGCTGCAGTGAGCTATGATCGTGCCACTGCACCCTAGGTTGGGTGACAAAGCAAGACCTCATCTCTTAAAAATAAATGAAATAGCATCATTGCATATGTAATTATTTAAGATGAGATCATACTGGGGTAGGGTGGAGTAGGGTGAACCCTAAACCAATAAGACTGTGTCCTCATGAAAAAGGGAAATTTGGACACAGAAAACACACAGGATGAATGTCAGATGAAGATGGAAACAGAGGTAATGGTGGTGCTTCTACAACGCAAGAAATGCCAAAAGTTGCCAACAACCACAAGAAACTAGGCAAAAGGCATGCAACAGGTTTCCCCCCAGGCCGGAAGGAATCAACATAGCCAATACCTCAATCTCAGACTTCTAGCCTTCAGGACTGTGAAACACTATAGTTCTGTTCTTTAAGCCACCCAGTTTGTGGAACTTAGTTATATCAGTTTTACAAACGAAGACACCATGTCTCAGAAAAGATTTCCTGTCTCTAGCTAACATCGGCTGTAAAAAATGTCCTTACCAAGTCAATCTTTTGCTGAGCCTAAGTACTGACAACCAATAATCTTGACCTTTTGGCGACTTTTGCAACCCCAAAGAGGTATTTCTTAACCCAAATCAATTTTTCTTATCAGTGGCCTTTGATCAGCTATGTAGAAAGATCCATCAGTAGTGATGCAGCCTGCCTGAAAAAGGAGGGGAGACCTATGGCATGCCATGCACCCTTTGAAACATACTGGTCCACAGAAACATACCAGGCTGGAGTGGCAAGGACATCCTGCCCCAGTGCACGGAATGTTTCTGGATCTGCAGTGTTTCTTGATAAGGATGTTTCTTGATATTTTTGTAGTTCATGAGCATAATGACTGGGTGTTCATGTGCACGTGTGAGATGTGCCACCCTCAAACCTTGTTACGACATCAGCACATTACCCGTATGACATGAAAAAAAAATGTTCCATATCCCTGACAGTTTTCCAGGAGGGCCCCCTTCAGGCACTGTCGTCCCATCCACAGTGAAGGACACAGCACCAGGAGAGGGCATTGGAGTGGCACAGGCAATGATCCCGTGTCTTCAGCCTTCGACACATTGAGGTGTGTGCATTCCAAGGCCACAGTCACAGGGATTGACAAAATTGAACAAACTCATATTTCCAAGACTTGGTATTTCTCAGAACTCTCAAAATTTCAGGCTTCTGCTGATAACTTCAATGTCTGCTTCTTGAATCAGAATCCTCCCTGAATCTGAATGGTAGCCTTAACGTTTCTACTCCACACATGAAGTCTCCAAATTCTCACTTTAGCTTCTTCCACTCTAGTCTCTGCCTCCCATTCATGAGAAACAGGATTAGACAGTAATGCCCAACTAATAGGCTTACTCTCTCACCTAAGGGGCATTTTGGTAAAAGGCTTTTACTGGCGGGTCATATCTCTTCTGGCAGGTCTTATCTCCCTTGGCATCTCTGTTTGGATTCTTCAGGATCCCAGCTTGAGCTCAGGCTGCCCTCCCTGGATGTACTAACTACCTAGCTTGGGGCAAGATTCTCCTTTTTGCCAGGGCACATGCTTGCCTGATTTAGCTCAAAGCAGATCAGACTTTCTTAATCAGGCCATATTCTCTTCCCTCTTTGCCTTCTGCACTCCAAGCTCGAACCAAAACTTGGTTCCTTTATGAAAGATTTCACTGAAGGCCACACTGAAGCATCCAGCACAATCTTCTAACCGAGCACCAAAGCCTGAGGCTTGGAAGGCACATGGTCCAAGTTTCAAAACATAAGTTACACATTAAGTGAATCTGGTGAATGGGCTGGAGCTCTGGTCTGGTGGGGAGTGCTGGGGGTGCTGGGGAGAACAGGAAGGGGAGGGGGTGTGGGAGGAAGCCCTCCTATCTGTCTTTTATTAATAGTTGCTTGTCCGTTTACCCTCTGGTTTCTCATCACTCCAGCCAGCAGAGACCAGCTCAGGACGAAGCCTGGGCAGTAGCCTGGGAGGAACTGGGCTTCGGAACCACAGGGGCCCAGGTGCGCCAGGGAAGCGCAGAGGTCCCAGCGTGTGGGCAGGAAGCTCAAGTGACAGCTCCAGTAGACCCTGGCGGGGGCAAGGGCACAGCACAAATGGCTACATATGTGAACAAAGTGCGCGGTGGGGCACGGTGGTTGCGGAGCCTGAGCACACCAAGGAGTGCATCAGACTTCAAGGGTCAAACTGCAAGGAGGCAGCTTTTGATTTTGGGGGCAACGAACTAGGACTTGATGGGCCGAAAGGAAGTGTCTAAACAGCAAGCTGCTTACCGCAATCTCCATCAGAAGTTGTGGGACGGATAGCGGTCTGGGGTTTGTGTGCTGCGCACAGTACCCTCATCACCACACAAGGGAAGCTGTGGATTTGGGGTCAGAATGAGAAGGAGCAGCTGGGACCCGGCGACACCAAGAGAATGGAGGCCCCCAGAGTCACTGAGGGTCTCTACCAGGAAGTGAGTGTGTAGGCAGCTTGCGGGCGGAACCTCACCTTGGCCTTGATGGAAACTGGCTCTGCGTTTGCATTTGGGGAGAACAAGATGGGGCAGCTGAGCCTCCGCAGCCACACAGAAGCAACCCCAGCCCCGAGCAGATCATGGACAACGGGCAGCCAATTACCAGAATGGCCAGTAGAAATGAATTCAGTACAATGGGTGGCAAAGAAAACCTACTCGATATGCTCAGCTTGGACCCAGGCACAGGGAATAGTGTAAGACTGCAAGCTGGTGGCGGTGCCCGGGCGAGTGGCCCACTTTCACTGAGAATGAAAGATGGGCAGATGCTGCCTGTACCAAAGGTGGTTGTGTGTTGAGAGAAGCAGCAATAGAGGAAGGGTTTACAGTGTGCCTACATAAACTGGTTATATGTATAAAAGAAATCATGAACAATAAACTGTAGAAGGCCTCTCTATGCCTCATGTTCCAGTGCAGGGTGACCTAGGCTCTGTTACCATAAACATTGTGTTCAAGGACATAAAACCCCTTCGTAGCACTAAGACGTAACCAGACTTGTAGGATCCTTGTAAGGCCCGTGATCCACTAGCTGCACATATAATAGACTAAAGAAAACCACATGTTCTTATTTTGTGAAACTCACAAACTGCCACTGTTATCAATCTTTAGAATGACACACCAGCTCCGGCTCACTGATTCAGTTCTGGCTCACTGAGTCACTCCACCATCATGTCACCCTCTCCCCACCATCACTCTACCCCTACCCTATAGATCAAAGTGATAGTAACCAATAAATACTGTGAGAGATCAGAGCTCAGGGCCTTCACTGCCTCCAGTAATAAGTGATGGCCCTCAGTCCCACTTTCACTCTTAATCTGTCTTTTCCTCAACCCTTTGTCACCACTGAACTCGGGGTACCCACAGGTGATGTGGGGGCTGGTTCCCTATAGTTGTGAGACCAGGAGAGCAGGACAGGGACCTGTCCCCATTTTCCATACACACTGTGCTGACCAAAGCTACATCCAACCTTGCAGCCACGCAACCACAAATGTTTCCTTTCACAAAAACATGCTAATCAAATCTGAGACAGAGTATTCTGAGCACAAGCATCTCAGCTAACAGCAGGGACTTTGCAAAAGATGCTCCCCAATGCATTTGCCCAATACTGTCCTAGCCTGTCCTAACCTGGCCTTTGCTTCATTTCAGTAGTAAAAATCACACCCCTGGTGGAGATTTAAGATGCTAATAAGACATGGATCACATGAAGAAGCGTGGCCAGAGACTGCATAGGTGCCACTGCCAGACCACCCCAAACATGCAATGATGTCACATGGAGGAGCTCCAAAGCAAATGAAACCCCAAACTAACCTGCTGTCGGGGAGCTAGCTGCAGGTCTCTTTCCCGTTGCTACTATCCCTTCTGCTCAAGCTGAAAGCTCCAATAAACTGCCTTGCTCAAGCCCATCTCACATTCTTAGTCTATTTCTATTTACTAAGAGTCAAGAACCCACCAGCCAGTGACAGTTGTGAACGATGTGGCCTGTGATGCTAACCACACATTGATTCTGGACTCTGAGTAATGAGTCTTCTCCTGGGGCTTTGGTGGCTATGGTTGGCTGGGCCACTCAGAACAGAAGGATGAGATGGTCCCCACTTGGTGAAGTTAGAGTTTGACTTCCTTGGGTATGAGGTATCCCAGATCCATGTTGGTTACGCCTGATCCTTTGCTGTCTGTGAAATTGGTGTCTCGTTTTCTGGGAAGCCCAATATCTCCCATGAATCCACCATGTACCTGAAAGCAGTGCAGGACCTCTGTGGCTGAAGAATCCAGAGCCTGGCTTTTGGGAAGAGTAGCAGCATTGTGGCCGCCGATGAGGGCACCATCAGCTGGGTGCCATCATCAACCTTTAGGTAATTGGGCTACAGGGGCCACGAGCCCAAGTCTTCCACTGCAGCCCAAGAGGTGAAGACTCTGGATGGCATCTTTTCAAAGCAGGTCGCCATAGGCTACTCCTTGGTGATAGCGAGAGATGATAGTGAGACCAAGAAAGAGAAGATCAAGAAACTGCTAGGCTACAACCCCTGGACCCTTTGATGCTCCTGAGGAATCCTGCAACTCCACACGTCTCCCAGAAGCTGTCATTTCCCTGTACACTGAAAGGTAAAGTTGAACAAGGAATTTCAAAAAGCAAATGTTGGTCAAAGATGCATTTTCATTAGACTCCCTGAGGTTCCGTTTTCACAAGAGAACCAATGTTAATTATCCTTTTCTGTATACTTTTTAAAGTCGGTTTTTTTCTCTCTTCATGTTTAATTAAAATATTTCACATACTTGGAAAAAATATGAATTGAACCTCATATTTTAAAAATACGAGTCGTTGGCCAGGCACAGTGGCTCACACCTGTAAGCCCAGCACTTTGGGAGGCAAAGGCAGGCAGATCACGACCTCCAGAGATCAAGACCATCTGGGCCAACATGGTGAAACCCTGTTTCTACTAAAAATACAAAAATTAGCCGGGTGTGGTGGTGCTGCCTGTAGTATCAGCTACTCGGGAGGCTGAGACAGGAAAATGGCTTGAACCTGGGAGGCAGAGATTACAGTGAGCCAAGATCGTGCCGCTTCACTCTAGCCTGGCTACAGAGTGAGACTCTGTCTCATAAATAACTAAATAAAATTAAAAAATGAAAAATATGAGTTGCTATAAAACAGTGGTAGACACATCCAGACTCCCAATGAGGACTGTGTTTCCCGTTATCCTTCACCCAAATTAACTCAGCCAATTCTAACTTTCAGGAGTATTCACTTGTTATGCCCCACTTCCATACAGCTATATTTCCATCAGGATGTTATTAGTTCCTAGTAACAGAAATGCAATTCAGACTAGTTTAAGCAGAAATGGCGAATTCAATTTGTCACAGAACTGGAAACAAAGAAGTGCAAGGGTAAAGTGGCTTTATGCAGCTAGAACTAGGGCTCAAACAGTGTGTTTACAACTCGTGACTGGTCCCCACCCCCACGTGGACTAGCTGTCTCCAGACAGCAGGCATGATAGCTCTCAGCAACACTGGACTCTCCTTTAACCAGACTAGGTACCCAGAAGAGAGTGAGGGTCTTTCGTAATAGCTCTGTCAAGGAAGTAATCCTGGGTAGAACTCTGATTGGCTAGCATGCATCATGCTGGAACCAATGATGATGGCCTGGGGCAGTGTGAATGGAGGGGCTTGAGACATAAACTCATCCCTGTGCAGAGAAGAGGAAAGAGAAGGATGAGGGAGACGTCCGGAGGGGGAAGGAAAGGCGAGAGGGTAGGAGCGGTGGAACTAGAGGAGGACTGAGGGAGAAGGAATCATAAGGAACTACAATCCTGCCTGAATCACCAGAAATAGGTTGCCCCAAGAAGCAGACAAAATAAGAGATGTCTGAACAAAGACTTTCAGGATATAGAGATAAATAAAATTTAAAAGCTATTGGAACCCACATTAAGTAAGCCCTGAGTGAGATGTGACTATGATCTGAGTCACACATGGTTGCAACTTCTGTGCTCAGATAGATTAACTCACTGTCCTATTTTTCTTGTTCTGCACAATAACTAGACAGAATTAGACTACACCACAGATAAATGCCTCCTGCTTTCTTCATTAATGACCCTGGTTATAGATTCACTTCCCCTTTGTTGCCTCACTTTGCTTAGACCAGATGACAGAAAACACATGACTATTACACCCTCTGTAAAAAATGCTAAATGCCCCTTCCCAAAAGAAAACACTGTCTATAACCAATCACATTGCTGTAACTAGGCACCAAACCTGTATAAACAGTGTTGTAATCCCACTAAACTCTCGGTCTCTGCCTATGTAAATGAAATCTTAAATTCCCTACTTCAGAATGCTGACCCCATTCCTTTGGAGTTGGTGTTTCTGGCTGGTCCATCCTCACCCTTTGAGCTTGAATAAACTCTCTTTAAATTAGGTTCTGAACCTTTTGATCATTTTAGGTTGACAGGAGTTTTGGAGTACTAGGTTTTAGCTTCCAGCTTCCCTCATTTCAGATTCCCACAAAAATGATAGAGTAGAAATCTCTATCAGTGCTGAAAATCGAGAAGATTGCTGCCTATCAGAGGGTGTAAATGAGAAGAAGCTGTCAAAGTATAATTTTTTTAAAAATCACACTTTGGGAGGTCGAGGCAGGCGGATCACAGGTCAGGAGTTCAAGACCAGCCTGACCAACATGGTGAAATGCTGTTTCTACTAAAAATACCAAAAATTAGGCCGGGCGCAGTGGCTCAAGCCTGTAATCCCAGCACTTTGGGAGGCCGAGGCGGGTGGATCACGAGGTCAAGAGATCGAGACCATCCTGGTCAACGTGGTGAAACCCCGTCTCTACTAAAAATACAAAAACATTAGCTGGGCATGGTGGTGCGTGCCTGTAATCCCAGCTACTCAGGAGGCTGAGGCAGGAGAATTGCCTGAACCCAGTAGGCGGAGGTTGCAGTGAGCTGAGATAGCGCCATTGCACTCCAGCCTGGGTAACATGAGTGAAACTCCGTCTCAAAAAAAAAAAAAAAAATTAGCCAGGCATGGTGGTGCACATCTATAATCCCAGACACTTGGAAGGCGGAGGCAGAAGAATTGCTTGAACCTGGGAGGTGGAGGTTGCAGTGTGCCGAGATCACACCACTGCACCACAGCCTGGGCAACAGAGCAAGACTCCATCAAAAATAAAAAAAAAGATTCTTATATAAACATAAGATGAGTACATACCAGTGACTTAATTATCTCATTAATGATGGAAACAGAAAAATGGTAAAAAGAACTACCAAGAGAATTGGAGAAAGTGAAGTACTTTCAGCAGCTGAAAGAAAGGATGCTTGGATCAAATTGCCCATTTAGATCCAAACTAGTTTAGCCTTCTGAACGGCAATACAACTATATAACTTTTGAGTTTACCTTTTCTATCAGATTTAATAATTAACATCTCTACAATAAAAGATCCATTTGCATTGTTATTGGACAAAAGTCACTTTCATCGCTATCAGGTTTCTATTAGTTATCAACTACCCTTACAAAATTGCAAATTATCCTATTAAATGATTAATTCAGCTGATCTGGGATATGCAAACCCTGCTCCTTCCAAAGAAAGGTCCAGCCATTAACCACCTATTGGCAGATAACCTCTAAGGCCTTGGAATGTCATTCCTGAGAAGAATGTCTTGGCTTATCTGGGGCTTTGGGCCACACTAGACAGTTTATGCTAACAACGTGATTTATTAAGAGGGGCAGGGAGGGAGATGGCTACATGATGTCAGTTTGACTTCAAAGGGCTCGAGACTGAGTAAGGCCAGCTATGTGGGCACTCCAAGCCTATATGAGTGACCTCCTATAAAAACCCTGGATCTCAAAGTTTAGATGAGTTTCCTTGGTTGACAATACTGCTTATGTGTTGTCACACACCACTGCTGGAAAAATTAAACACTATCCATACAACTCCACTGAGAGAGAACAAGTGGAAGTCTGTGCCTGGTCTCTCTCTTGGACTCTGCCATATTCTCCTTTTACCTTGGATAACAAATCTATACTCTTTTTCTGTAATAAACCATAACCATGGGTAGAACAGCTTTTCTGAGTTCTGTGGTTCCTTCTAGCAAATCACTGAACCAGAAGGTGGTCTTAGGAACCCCATACCACAAATAATTAACAGCAAATCCAAAAAAGTTACAAAGCTTCCCCAGGGGAATCAGTCCTTGAGGAAACCTGCTAGACACTGCCCACAATGACACTGAAAGTGGACGCTCATTTTTTTAATCCACTTTCACATTTTAGATAATTTTTCTTAATGTATCTTAGAGAAAATACAAAGTTTTATGCTTTCATGAGTTGTGGCAGGAATACAATAATACCTTTAATGTCATGATAGGCCCTTATCTACTCTACAAATTTGTGGTAACAAAGTATATTGAAATCTGCATGAATCATCCTGATGCCCACAGAAAATAGATGACTGTGCAAACTGACCAATACTGAATACACACCCCTTGATAAAGAATTTTGCCTTCATAGTAAACTATTTTTAATGTATTTATATTGTTATACGTACACGAGTATATATAAATACATACACTCACAGTAAAGTACATGAAGTACACTAAGTGTACATCTCAGTGATTTTTTTTACATATACAGCTAGTGCTCGACTTACGACCATGATCGGGACCGGCAGACCGGTCGTAACACGATTTGGTTGTAAGTTGAGTAGGCTATATGTACAGTTGAAATGGTGCACACGGATATGGTAGTGCTGCTGGAAGCTGGTCCACACTGTCGTACGTCCAGCTGGGCAACGTTTGCGCTGCCAGACACAGAGCAGTCATGGCTAGCGATTGTGGTCGTAAAGTTGAATGGTCGTAAGTTGCATAGGTCGTAAGTCGATCAATATCTGTATACACAGCTGTATTATTCTTTTTTGCATTGCTATAAAGAAATACCTGAGATGGGGTAATTTATAAAGAAAAGAGGTATGATTGGCTCACAGTTTCACAGGCTTTTCAGGAAGCACGATGCTGGCCATCTGCTCAGCTTCTGGGGAGGCCTCGGGAAACTTACAATACAGGTATTGATCAACTTATGACCTATGCAACTTACGACCATTCGACTTTACGACCACAATCGCTAGCCACGACTGCTCTGCGTCTGGCAGCGCAAACATTGCCCAGCTGGGTGTACGACCGTGCGGACCAGCTTCCAGCAGCACTACCATCTCCGCGTGCATATAGCCTACTCAACTTACGACCAAATCGTGTTACGACCGGTCTGTCGGAACCAGTCGTGGTTGTAAGTCGAGCACTAGCTGTAGTGGGAGGTGAAGGAAAAGCAGGCTTATCTTACATGGCCAGAACAAGAGCAAGAGGGTGCAGTGGGGGTTAGGGAGGTGCCACACACTTTTAAACAACCAGATTTTGTGAGAACTCTAGCAGTAGAATAGCATCAAGGAGATGATGCTAAACCATTCATGAAGGATCCACCCTCACAATCCAATCACCTCCTACTGTGCCCCACCTCCAACACTCAGGATTACCATTTGACATGAGATTTGGGTGGGGACACAGATACAAACCGTATCATTCTGACCCTGCCCCCCACCTCTTCCCACCAAATCTCACATCCTTCTCACATTTCAAAATACAATCATGTCTTCCCAACAGTCCTCCAAAGTCTTAACGCTTTCCAGCATTAACTCAAAAAGCCACAGTCTCACCTGAGACAAAGCAAGTCCCTTCTATCTATGAGCCTGTAAAATCAAAAACAAAGTTAGTCACTCCCA